TGCTTCTGATTATATGGCTTGTGGCTTGGCACCATGCCGCGTTTGCATAACTTCTACCGTCAAAAGAACTGAATGCACTGATATCTGCAGGGATTTTGTAAGTCTCCTTTTCTAGTCCTAAAACAGGATGCGCTTTGCTTTCCTGATGGTGTCAGAAAAGATTGTTTGCTCACACTTCGGCAGCAAAGAAATATTTCTGCTACTTGTCTCATATTTTGTATCTTTTTGCCATCTTTCTCCTCATATATTTGAATGCAGCCTGTGGTGAACAGCAATATTAGGCAGCTAGTGTTAAATTACTGCTGAATAAAATGCCAACAGAAGGTATATGCACCACTTATGTTCATTCCTATGCTGCCTGCTCAGCATCCAGCCGACACTGTTTGGGATGCTGTCACAGACAGCAACGGGAGCTCGGGCGGTGTCTTGGTTTGCCTTCATTCCTATTCACTGGAATAACTGCTGTTCCTGTATCCCCTGATGTTTCTTCTCAGAGCATGTCCCACATCCTCTGAAGGAGGGGGAGTCTGCCATTAGAGGCTCAGTACATCCATTTTCCTGAAGAAGGACAGATACTGGGAATATAAATAAACTCATAGATGATGCAAGTGAAGGAGAGTGCATCTGAGTTAACCACCAACAACGAAGTGGTTTTAGCATCTCTGATATTATAATCCTATCAATCAACAAACCTATGACATCTGAATATGCTGCATTATTTGGATTTCCACTCTGGCTATTTTCTTTTCTCTGCTAAATCTTCACAATTTCCCCCTGAGCACAAACAACAAGTGGAGAGGAAAACAGAGGATGAACTGGAAAGCACGAGGAGAGGCCAGGGGCTAGGGGGGACTGTCACTTGGAAAGCATGTTCTTTCTGTTGGATTGACACATTACAGGCACTGATCCCACATTCGCGACGTAAGTGAAACCATCTGTGCCACAGATCTGGTCGGGAGCTTGACCAGGGGGCCCTGACTGCTGTTCTCAGCGGTGCCCCTGCGCGATGTGCTGCAGCTAAGCCGTAAAGGGAACAGAGACAAGCGGTAAAGCAATAAATTTCCAAATAGTCTTCATTCCTCAGTGGGCTTGAATGAAACTAGGGTTTTGCTTCTATGAATGAAAAATTATGCAGGAAGAAACATACTGTATGAACTCTCCTTGTTTGCAAAGCCACACTGTGTTTAAACTTATGGGGCTGCACCTCAACTGATGCAAATCAGGAGAAGCCTTCTAGGCTAAGTGGATGTGTGCCAGCTGGAGACCGGCCCCCTCTCGTTATTTCTTTTTGCCTCTTTCATATCTACTCGTTGATCAGTGGTGAGCACGCAACAGAAGCCCAGAGTATGGCAAACAATCAAATAAAGTTGTGTCAGACAATAACAAAAAGCGAATGACAATTCCTGAATGTGAACGTATTGAGAGGGATGAAATTGGTGGATAGCAGGATTATATTATTTTAAGTATAGAGGTCTAAGGTAATTTTTTAATCTTCAGACCCTAAACAATTTCCTCTGTTTCTAGCCAGTCAAATATACCTGTGGAACTGATACCATGAGTTCATATAAGTTTTTCTGGATTTCATTTATTTGAGGAATATATAGTTATATAGCAAGACCATTCAAATATTCCTTTGGAAAAAAGAAAGAGTGACAGTCCTACATTAATCTCTCTCTTGAATATTTTTAATAGTTTCAGAAATCAGTGAGGTGAGCCATGTCATTACCACGCACTACCCAAGAGAGTGACACAGTATCTAGGCCCATCCAGTGCTCCTCGAGTAAATGCAACATCTGAAAGAAAAGCTAACAAAAAGACAAATAATGAGGAGACATCATGTTGAAACTCATAGCTTTTTTTGGTAAAGCTTTTGAATGAAGTTTAGATACAAAATTGTCAGTGATAGGCTTGTTAAAGTCACAGATGGGTGAGCGCTGCTATATACCATGCTGATAAATGATGAAAAAAATCTTTCAGCCTCAGATAAAAAGACTATTTTAAAAGTATTGTTTTCTAAATCCCACTTATCAATCAAGAAATTAAATGATTCACCTCACTTTTCCTTTTCTTTGTGTTGTAAGAAAAATGACTGTAGGCTTAGAAAACATTGGTAAGGCTATAAAGATAAATTGGACAAACAAGGAAGTGGAGATGGCATTTATATTTCTGAAATATTGCCTCTGTGATAGGCACCAGTGCATTTACAAGTCGGAATTCCTGAGGGTCAAACATGCACCATGTGAAATACGTGGAAGTTTGTCAGGCCCTGGGGCTGTTCAGGATCTCAGTTCATGGCCTTTGGAGCAGGAGGGATGCAGCAGGGGGGCTGCAGGGCCAAATACGGAGCTGCACCCGTTGCATTTCACCAGTAAATTTTAGATGTCTGAACATCATACTGTGCCTTCATAACAGGCACTGGTAAGTCACTATTTCTTCACTTCATCCTTGACTGAGGGTATAAGGCTGCATCTGCAACTGTTTCCATTCATGGAGAGAGCGCTAAAATAATAGTCCGTAGAAGCAGTCCTAAAAACCTGCCCTTGTATCTGATCCTTTTAGTGCCCTTTTCTGAAAAAAAAAAAAAAAATGCTTTTCCTAGCATGCCAGTCTAATGGTCTTTGAGAGCAGCCTGACGATTTGGAAGCTGCTCCAGCTTTTGACCAAGCTGGGGAAGGAAGTCAGCCACAGGGCTTTGCAGCATTACACATCTGAAAAGCAACAGAGCAGGTAGCTGGGTAGCACCAAAGCATCTGCCACCGTCGTGGAGGAGATGGTTACTGAATATGCTTGCAGTCTGTCAAGCACTGAGCTGGTGCGATGACACCTTGGTGCTCCCCAGCACAAGAATTTGCATATATATCTATCACCAAGCAGGCATCCAGCTCAGCCAGCTGTACCTTAAAACCACCCTTCAGATTTCTTAGTGACACTTAACCCTGATACTGTTCTACCTCTCCCCTAAGCCACAAGAGTTCAATGCTTCCTCCTGAATGTGCCAGTCTTGGTCTGCTGGTTGCTTCCTCATCAACATGAGGCAGAAAAAAAATTGTCCGATTAACAAATGCTCAGTAAGAACCCTGGAACAGCTGAAAAGCAACTCTGAGGGACAGAAGACAACTCCGTCAGCGAGAAGGCTGCCCTACTTCTATAGATTTATATAGCTTCATAAAACACCCCCTGCGCCTGGGTGAATATATAAACTCCCATGTCAAGCTTTTCCCATTTTCTGGCCTAGTTTGATGACTTATCCCGTTATGTACTTTCACATGAACCCTATTGATGAATGCTGCATGGAAACTGTGGTAAGTGACTGCTTCAGCTTCTTCCCTGGGTTGCTATGATTTAATGTCAGCTTTGAGATGTGCCTCTTTGAGTTCATGTTTTGTCTTTGGTGTCATTAGACAATGAGCTCTGCAGAAGAGGCTTGGGCAAGTCTGTGTCCGGCTAATGTCACTCAGTGCCGATCTTAATAGCTTTACTACAAAAGCCTACAAAAGCCAGCGATCAGAGCTAAGTCTAAGTGACATTACGCCAAAGTCCACAAAAATTTTATTCAGGTCTTATCCGTAAGTAGAGTTTATTTGAAAACCAAGTGACATCAAACTAGAATAAACCAGCATGTTCTGCAAAAAACACCTTAACAGCAAATGGCAGGAAGGTTATATAAACCAAAGGAACATTTACATTAGGACACAGATTCAAGAAAAAAGACAATAAGCCATTGTTAGCTACAAATCATCTTGGAAAGTACATGCCAGCCACAAAATCTAATAGCATGGAGATACTAAGGCCTAATTCCCTGATACAATACCCACAATAACTCCAAGTCTGGAACATTTGCCTTCAGCCTATTAATCTAGCCTGACAATTCAAAGAGTGACTTTCCAAATGGGTCCAAATAATTGTTTCTCTCTGGTGAACTACAATAGGACATTGAATAAGGGAGGCTATAGCTGTAGTCCAGAAGTCCTTTAACCCCTAAATATTGGCCTAGAAATAGTCTTAGCTTGGGAGGGAACCTAGATGTAGTGGCTGTAACTCTATTACCAGCAGCCAGAGAGTGACCCCAGCTCCCCCTTCCATACTGCCATCCATAGGGAGAAAAAATGGCACAAAGTATAATCACCAGGTCCTGAACTCTTTGGTCTCCTATATAGGCCAAAACATTACCATCATTCAGAGCCACTTTCCTATGGTTCGCTATATATTTTGTTAAAACTAGTCACAAGCCCTCCTCTGCATCCTTTTTCTTCTTATATGACTTTGGAAGTGAGGTGGCTGCAGTGTTTTTCCAGGGTGGTCCCACACCGCAGGTGTCATTTCTGCTCCGCTCCCATGAGGCCTGGAGCTATTCTGTTGCATTAATAAATCAAGGTCTTTTGTGAGTGGATTTTTCTGCTCTCTGTGACCCTGAAGGGAGCTCGATGTTCCCCTCCTGTAGTTTATATCCTATAACAGTACATGGCACTGACATCAATTCAGTGGAGACAGACTTACATCATCTTTGCTGACAGCAATTGCTGCCTCTTCCAAATGATAGGCTGCACAGACAGTGCTGGCAGCAGAAGCCAGGATGGGGCACCTCTCCTCTAGGCAGCCAGCTTCTCTTCCTAGTCAACAGCGAGAAAGCACTCTTCTTGAGAGCAGGCCATCCACCCAGTTTTGGATATTGCCCCTTGAGGGAGCTGGACCATGCCTTCAGGGTGCCCATTTCCCTGCACTGGCTATAAAAAGCGAGTCCAGATGATGAAATCGCATGCAGACATCAAAGGCCAGATGAGACTATCCTGCCAAGGAGACTGTAAGGAGTCAGAAAGTGCCTGGGAGCTCCAAGGAGAGGCCAGGTCCCTTCTAGGAGGGGGGTCAGCACTGACAGATGGCAGGAAAAAAAGGTTTGTCCACGTATCTGGTGAAGCAGGACATAAATAGAAGAATGAATCTGTACCTCTGGAGGTACCACATGAGGGGTGGAAGAATGTGGCATTAAAACAAGACAGAGAAACATTGCCAAGTGAGTTTATTGAACAAAAAGTGTTTCAGCAGATAGGAGGAAACAAGACAAGCCGAAGGAAAGCTGTTAGGGAAGATCAGCCCATGGGGAGTCATGCAGAAGAGAGTTTTTCTTCCTGGGCTGGAGACTAGTGCAGTTAGCATTCGGCCTGAGCGTAGAGTGTGAGAGTCCTGTTGCTCTCCCTGGTGAGAAAAGGAGAAGAGATGGATTAGACACAGAGTACATCTGACCCAGAAGCTCTGTCCCTCCCTTCGCTAGCAAAAGAAATGTTGACTTAATCTTGCCTAGAGATAAAGAATATTCTCAAAATCTCAGCTACTTCCTTTTATTATTATCACTAAAGGAAAGATGAAAGATTTCACACATTTCATACAGTCCAACTGTTTCATGAAATGCTTTTCCCATGCCCTGGTGGGCTTCTGGAACAAATTGTGTGCTGGTTAGCATAAGTAAAATGGCTTTGAAGTTAAAAACCAGGAAGCCATGTACAGGTCCACAGAAATGGGTCCTTCACATTTTCCTTTAAAAATAACCCCCCCTTCCACCTCCTTGTGTCACTTAAACGATGCACCAGAAATGTCCAGCATATGCCCATAACCAGCCAGTCAAAACCATGTTAAGGAAACAGGCCTGCGTTTTCAGCAGGTACAGGAAATGACGATGGAAAACAGGGGATTTATTTCTGTACGTACAGGTATGCATTGCAGAAAACACATTTGTTGCCATATGTTTTGCCGTCGGAGCCACAGTGGGGTATATATTCCATGGTGCAGATAGGAGAGGGTTCTTGGAAGCTGCTGCAATAATCCTACAGACAGGAATGATGGGGATTTTGTGGGCTACCTGTGAGCAAACTGTGCTCCCCAGCAACAGGAATGACACCCCCCTGGAGAAATGAGACTCTGTCTCTAAGACCATGATAATAAATGTCTCAAAAAGCTTCTTGCTGGTGGCAGGTGTGATCTCATACTATACCACACTCTTCCTTGCCCTGTTAAGGAGAAATGGGATGGATGATGGCTGTTTTATGACCAGCATGATATTCCCAGGTGATCTCCTCAGGTCTGAACACCAGTCCCCCAATTTGTATCCCAGAGCAGGGCACAGTCCCCATGACTGTAACAGACATGGGCCCTGGCTCCTTTTTTCCATCTGTTCTCACTCACTTTTGTAACATCTTCTGCACATCTTCCATTATTTCTTTTGCCAAGATTGCTCTGATGCTCTCTAGAGGAAAGAGACGCTGACGTTAGTGGCAAACTTCGCCGTTACAACCGCAGTGCAAGAGCACAACCTAACTCACATGTAGCATACAAGCGATTTTCAGACAAATTAGCTTAGCATGGCCTGTGCCATGTTAGCATGTGATCTTGGGGCCATGTCTTTGGGACTAGTGTTCTTGCCAGCCGGCACAGGTCCCTTTGCAGGACTCGGAGCAGCGGCCTGGTCCTTGCTGAATGCCCATCTCAAACACTAACCCAGGCAACAGGGAAATGAGGGAGGCTGAAGGGATCGAGAAGGGGATTGGCAGGTCCCGATGGTGTTCGGCTCCCTCGTCCTACAGAGGGTTTCAAATGCAAGCCTTGGCACGCCACTCGGCTTTCGTGGACACCTACCAAACCATAGCCTCTGTCAGTTCCCCCTAGGAGAAGAGCGCATACTTACAGATTGTGGGCGCACAGTGTGCATTCGCTAGCGTAAGTGACACCATTGGTAGCACAGACGGGATCGTAGATCATGGTGCAGAGCATCAGCTGCTTGCCTTCATCTGTAGTGACTGTTTGGTACTTGCTGCAGTCGAGCTGGGAAGCAAACACAGCAAAAGCTGTGGTATGGCCTCTGCTCTGTGAAACAGTGCCCCAGCACAACATCCTCATTTACGCCTCTGCCTTTTGGGGTCTGCCATAGGATAAATTAGGGTTATATATTAACTCATTCTTCCACTGAAACCCGAGCGGTAGTAACATGGCAATTTCCTTTCAGAACCTTCAGCTGGAGAAGACTGAACCAAGGCTGAAGGGACATATCACTCCTTCAGCTTTGTGACGCCCTGACACCTCGCTGAGCCTACTGTGATGATACAAAATGCAGCTTAACAACAGTCTGCAAATCAAAACAGAATGATTTATCCGGTCCCTACTAGAGAGCTGACCACGATCAAGGAGTTTTTCATGGCCCAGAAGAGTTGGCAGGGGGACGTGCCAACAGGGCCTTTTGTTCCAATGGGCCAGCTCCGAGCATTGAAATCTGCCAGAAGGACTGACAGCATTGGAGGCTGATTTACACCGGTTGAAGAACTGGCATTTTGCACTCCTAGTTTCTCCAGTGTGAGCTCTTCCTTACTGATTTATGTGTCTCACCCGGTCTGAGCACAGGGTGTACTAGGGAAACAAAGGATGACATTTCATACTCTGCATAGAAATGAAATATCTGACTCAGGATGTTGAGTCTTTCAAACACATGCTAATGAGACAGCTTTGTTTTTCTATTCCCCAGTGGGTGTAAACCATTCAGAGCTGGTCAAATACGGCTAATTTGGTATTTTTACAAGAATTATTGTTGGTATACATTATATTACATTAAACTTGCAAGAAAAGCAGAGAGGGGTTTGAAACCCCTGGGACATTAGGAATCAACATTCAAAACACAGGCACACTGATTTTCTAATCTTTACAGAACATCTTTTTGTAAAACTTAGGCCTCCAGAAAGAAGAAAGCACAGAGGCACCCTGCGGTCCTCTGCGTCCCCTTTCCATATTGCCAAAGCAGGCTGCTGAGTTCTTGCTACCACTATGATAGACTGCTGTGGGAAAGGGATTTTTTCTCATAGCACCTTAAATCATTTGTTACCTGTCTCATAACTCAGTCCTCATCTGTCCTCCTTTCTTTCTTCTTAAGACTGTGTGTGGGAAGTGCACAATGTTCCTGTTGTCAGGAGGTAGGTATTCACCCATGGAAGGAAGGGGAGCATGAGCTATGTGACCCAGTGGAGGCCAGGCTATCAAAACCAGCCAGCACTTATTCAAGCTATGCACTCAGCATCACCTCAAGCTCCTGGTTTTTTTCAAGTTTCACTTACTTGAGGAACTTCTTCTATGCATTTTCCATCATGTTTTTTGCCTACATTGGTCCCTAATTCTCTAAAAGAGAGATAAAGTGGAGTTAAGACAGCTCAGCGTGTAACTCTCCACCTCTTGGTCCAGGCAGCAGGTGCTGTGAAGGACTGTTGATCGCTCAGCAGAGGATCTCCAGGACTTACAAGTTATGGGCACACAAGGCGCAGTCATTGCTGTAGGTGACATTGTCTGTTCCACAGACCTCATGCAGGATGAAGGGGCAGGCTGTGATGGCTTCACCGGATTTGGTAGTACCAGTCAGGTATCTGCTGCAGTCAACCTGAGGAGATAAAGTAACGGAGCCAGGTCAACTGCTGTGAAACAAAAATGTGTCTCATCTGCAGTCTGCCTGCTCTATTCCTCCAGATGTTAAAAGCTTCAGCAAGAGAAAAATTAGGGTTGTATTTTAATTTTAGTCTTCCTTTAGAAATGAAGTAAGCAATTTTAGTTGGCTTTGGTATTGTCTGCTAAAAGAGGGAAGAAAAGAACAGCTGACAAGAAGGATCATATTCCTACACAAGTATGTATGCAAGGTTTCCTTGTCTTCAAGAAACTTAACCAGGTTTTAAAGTAAACACTTCACTCAAGGAATCAGTTTTAAAGGGTTTTACATTAAGTCCATCGTCTAACATAGAGTTAACTAAATCTGAGATTTAGTTTCAGCATTTTCAAATAGCAGCAAGGACCATTTCACCCAGTTCTATTGTAAAAAATCTTTACAATATATAAAAACTGGCAATTCAAATCTTGGAGGATAAATAGGCAAACTCCTACTGATAGCAGTGGAAGTCGGTCTACATTAGCTAAGCATCTGACCCTTCATTGTCATTTTGTATAGTTTCCCCAGTGCAGTGTTTCTTACTACCCAAATTTCTCACATGGTCCAAGGGCGAATTAAAGCAAAGATAACAGTGTCTTTATTATTCAAATCATATTACATTCCCTCCGGGTGCATGAAGTTATTCTCAGTCCTTTAGAGCTGCTCTGCGTATGCAGAGTAAATGCATAGAGATATTATCAGCATGTATTGTTACTGTGGATGTTTATAAAGCTATTTCTGTATCTGTAGCTAGGAGCAGAGGTTTCCTGACTAACTGGAGCATGAGGGTTTTCTAACCTGCCTATGTATTGCAATGGAAATCTTAATACTGAAAGAATACGCTGATATCTAACAGGGTCTTCTGCCTTCTTTTCCTACCATCCTAAAATAGGCTGCCTGGTTCTTGGGCTGCTTCTAACAACTTCAGTTCAGAGATCTGCAGTACTGGGACATTTTGTTTCTGAAGTCCTGGGCTATTCTCGTTCTCCCTCGCCCTGATGTACAGTACATTGGCAGCAGCTGCTGTGAGCAGCTAGGGAGCAATGCAGTGCCAGCACAAGGGCTGTGCAGCAACCCTCTGCGCATTTGGGAAGACAGATAGCTCAGCAAAGCCAGCTGGAGTGTTTCTGGAGACTGTAGGGCTTTGGCAGGATATAGCATTTATTTTACATCTATTTAGACTTACCGGGAGACTTTTCTCCTTACATCTTCCATCATGGCTCTTCTTAACATCAGTTCCATGTTTTCTGAAAGAGGAGAGGTTGGCATTAGCATGCTCACACATTAGCATGCTCACCGTGTAAGCCTCGGGACTCTTAGGCACCACAGAGAGTGGACCTAATTCATAGTCAATATACATGATAAGGGAAGCATCTCACTGCCTAATTAGCTATCTTCTCCCTGTCCTTAGCAAGCATAATCCTAAGCAGTAACAGATATATCAGGTCTCCTCACACTGTGCGAGGTAGCAGTCCCATCCACCCTTTCCTCTGCCCAGATTCCACAGCCCTCACAGTAGGCGCAGATTGACGTTTGCCTCTTCCACAGCTCCCCTGATGAGCACAAACAGGGGGTCAGGGAAGAAAATGAAGGTGATGGGGCTTCAGGAGATTGAAAGATTAACAGAAATACATTTACAGACACATTGATATTAAGAGAAGAGCTGTATGGGGCTATGTGACTCGAAAGGGAAGTTCTACTGTACAGCACTTACATGTTATGGGCACAGATACCACACACGTTGTCGTAAGTAAACCCGTCTGTGCCACAGACTGGGAGCAAGATCCTTGGACAGAGTACCCGGACTGTACCATCCTTAGTTGCTTTTGATGTGTATTGACTGCAGTCAAGCTGCAAAAAGCAGGAGTATCAGCACTGGGGAAGCATGTGTTTTCTGAGACAAAATCTAGCATAATCTCCCATTTGTCTCCTTGTCTTCTATGCTTGGATGCTGAGACAACACTGGTGTTGCATTTCAGCTCTCTCAAAACCAGCCTGAATCACCGCTGCATGAATCCCCTCACGCACACAAGGAACTACACAGCACTGCATAATTTGCAAGACATTCAACGGCTAGTGCAACCAGCTAGGTCAATCCCAAATGCCGTCCAACTTTACTGCTGACTACAGAAGGTGACCACCTGAGCAAAACGGTTTGAAAAGTAGCTCAGAAAACCAGGAAGAAACTGTCCTGTGTCCCTTGTCCTTCTGTACTACAGAAATAAATTTAAAAAAAAAAAAAAAACATAGTCAAGCAAATTGGACTTTGCTGATAATGCAGTTGAAGATCATCCTCAAAGAAAGACATGCGATCAAGCTGACTGACTTCCACATTTATGTGGTGGTGTGTCCTAGAAGCCAGCTCTGAGACCTTTTGGCTGATATACCTGGAGCAAAACTTCAGGGGTGCTCTAAATACCAGAATACAGCCCCAGTCCAAAGGTTGGCGTAGGCGTGAATTTGTAATGTAGACTCTGTGCCTAGCACAGAGGCTCACATGCAGCCCATCTGCCAGGGCTGTGTCGGCAAGGAGGACCCAGATGACACCTGCCTCAAGACAGATGGGAGCTGTAGGTGTCCTGAACACAGGGCTCACAAGGTTTAGTGGACATGTGGAGAAAGCCAGGCTTCAGGCCAGCTCACTTCCAGAGCAGAGCTAGCTACAGGGAATCTTTCAGTTGATATAGGCAAGAGGAGAAATATGCCTTATATCGTACTCACTGCGGGAATGTCCTGTTTGCATTTTCCATCATGCTTTTTGCTAACGTGGGTCCCGTGTTCTCTGGAAGAGGAAGACAATGAAGTTGAGGAACTTAACGCTTAAACTCCTGGTCACGTTCAGATGCAAAATGAATCAGACACAGCATAGAGCAGATACCTGGCAAATTAAGGTTTCAGCCTCTGCAGGAGTGTCTCAAAATAGCTACATTATTCTACTTGGTAACAAGCTCGTCACATCTTCTAAAAACATATAATTTAAAGTGATATTCTGAACTATTCCTTCATCTGCTCAGTCACTGGCCAGCCTACAGATTAACCCAAGGATCTGTCATCTGACTCTTCCAAGTTTCCCTTCATAGCACAAAAAGGAAATCAGAAGGAAACTCAAGATAGACCCAAAAATAAGCCAGTTTCTAAGAGGCCTGATGCAATAGGCATACGCAAAAATGTAAAAGGACTGTTACCAGGACTGCTAAGTGTTGCTGGTAACTTAGAAGGAATGCTCTATGTACGGCACTTACCCATTATGGGCACAGATCACACATTCATTATCATATGTAAAACCATCTGTGCCACAAACTGGATCCAGGATCCTTGGACAGGATACTAATGTTTTGCCATCTTCAGTGACTTTTGCTGGGTACTTGCTGCAGTCAATCTGTCAAAATAAAGAGATTTAGATCTGGTGGAGCCACTGTTATGTGAGAAAAGTCCACTCAAAACCTTTCTTTTCTGCATCCCGCTCTTCAGAGTTTCTGCAACAGGACAAAGCCCTGGTACACTAAACTAAATCTTCTATCAGAAATGAGATTTCTGAATATTATCCTAGTTATCTAGGAGTGGAAAGAAAGGACTTGTCTTGGAGAAAGAATCCTTCTGATAGAAGGAACGTACAAAACTTTGGGCCCATTCTCATCAACAAAACTCCCTTCAGTTTGGTGGGAACCATTTTTAACCAGCTGGGAATCTGACTAGTATTGTTGTGGTTTGTGATGTTTTTCTCACCTCTTTCCAGTGCTATGATTACTTACTGGTTTAGATTTAATATAGCTAAGCAATGGGATTTGAAAGGATAAAGAAGAAATGGTTATCTATCAGTTGGGGAATGGACTTTCTACATCGCCAAATTTTTTTTATGAAACATATAAGCTTTTCCTCCTGAGGTACCAGACTGTTCTGCCTCATGTAGAACTAATTATAAATATACAATAAGCTAAACCCTATAAATATGTATGCTTAGTGCTCTTATGAGTTTCACTGTGTCTGTGAAAACTAGCATGGGAGTTTTGAATCCCTGTTGCAAAGGGTGGAGAAGCTTATGATCTTCAGAAAGAAAACTGCCAGCCCGCACAGCACACTGGCAAGGAAAAGCCAGCATCCAAAGAACTGAGTATGCTGGTCTCTTGGGCCTCTCCTTTCCCTGGGCGCAAAAGCTAGCTTAGTATGAAGGGAAGAGGACTCTACAGCACTGTGTGACTACAGCTTCTTATTTCATACCCATCTCCTGTCTCCTTTGTCCCTTTGGTGTGGTACGAGTGAGGTGACTCTTCTGGGGCAGGGAAGATGCAAAATCCACTCTCACTGTGCAGAAAGCCAGAGCCTGGGCTGAGACATCGTAAACCCTGCCATATGGTACTTTTGCAATTTCCTGGGGAAATCAGTGGGACTTTCCTAGGGAAGTCTCTATTAACAATAGTACGAGATGGATTTTGACTTCTGTTCCACTTACCGAGACAATCTCATGCTTGCATTCTCCATCATACTTTTTACTAATGTTGGTGTGATGTTCTCTGGAAAAAAAGAGTTACTTTGGTTAGGGAGCTCTGAGAATAACTTTTGTCGTTACAGTCTAGACAGTGGGACAAGAAAGCAAGGTCCTACCCACTACATGGGACACTAGAACTGGCTGAGTTTAATCTGAATGTGTTCAGAGGGTGGTAGCAGTCACTCTTTGAGCAGCAAACTCAGTATTTCCTTATCCTGCGGTATTAGGAATACCTCTCTGATGGGCTCATGGCTCTGCTCTGTGTTGTCGTCTGGCTCTTTTGCGATTCCATGCATAAGCACAGAGGTTGGGGAAGAAAGCTCAGGCTGGCTGGAGAAATTGCAAATAGACTGTTCCAGAGGGACCTACTGAGACCCCAGACTGAAGAAAGACTAGTATTTTAAAGGAATGCTTCTCAGAGCCTTAAATATTGCTAATTGTCCAGAGAAGAGGTTTTACGCACACCACTTACGCGTTATGGGCACATATCCCACATTCGTTGTCATAAGTGAAGCTGTCAGAGCCACAAACTGGTTTCAGTATCCTTGGACAGGCTACCAGGACTTCGCCATCTTTTGTAGCTTTATGGTATTTACTGCAGTCAACCTATAAAAATAGCAGTAATAGAACACAATTCACTTTTGCTATAAAGAAATAATGCTCTTCATAGTATCCATATTCTATCTCAGCCTTTGGGGCTCCAAAAGCAGTTGGAGCCAATTCTGTGGGAATTCTCCAATGCTGAAGAAAATGGCATGGAAAGAAGGACTGTTCATTCTGGCTTTATGAGGTCCTTTGCGAGGACTTACTGGAACTAACTAGGCTGTGAGAGCCAGCCTTCAGACAACATGACATTTCCATTTTATTCCTGATTCCAGAGACTAGGAATCAGCACTAGAAAAACAGAGACATGGTACTATATGCCACAGAAAACCCTTGGGGCCTTAGCTATGATCATTTTTTAATTCCCTTTGCGCTGTCCAGACCAATGTTTTATTTCCATTTGGATTGTGTCCCTCTCATATGGTGGCTGGACTGTCCACTTTTACAGCCAATAGAAGTCTTCCATGGACACCAGCAGGGTAGTCTTTTGCCTTGCTATTGCACTTACCTGAATAAGTTTCTGCTTGCATTCTCCATCGTGCTGTTTACCGACATGGCTCATGTGTTCCCTAGAAGGAGACTTGTGTCAGCAATTGTGGAGAGCAGCCATTGCCTCCAGGCTGGATGTGTCGGTGCCAGCTCACGTGCTCCTCTGTGCCTTTTGGGGCATGTAGCTGCCACTCTTACCTCTAATCTCTTGCCCTGCTACTTCTGCCAGTATCTGCTGGTCTCCAGCAGCTGAGCGGGAAGCAGCTGGTCTGCTCCTTGGCTGTAAGGACCTCCAGCCCCAGTGGCACACTCAGAGCTGCGACCTGCCGCAGTAGCCTGCGCCCGGAGGTGGAGGAGCAAGCTCTGCAGGAGCTCAGCGCAAACCCACTCCTGAGGGACTTTAGAAAGTTTACAAAGAAATGCCGGTATTTCAAGGGCCCGTGGGGCAAGACTCACCTGTTGTAGAGGCAGATGCCACATTCGTTGCTGTACGTGGTGCCGTCTGTGCCGCACACCGGTGCAAAGTGCCTGGGGCAGGCTACCCAGACGGTGCCGTCCTTAGCAACGCCGCTCTTATACTTGCTGCAATTGACCTGTGCAAGCGGCAGGCCGCTGTCAGCCCCGCTGCAAGCTGCCGGGCCGAAAGAACCCCCCACCCCATGCAAGCTCCCCCGTGCCGCAGCAACAGCCCCTGCAGCTCCGGCCACAAGATAAATTAGAGGAATTATTGTGAATCTCTCCAGGCAGCCAGGAGGAGCGAATCTTGCCTACAGCAGTTTCTGATGAGGCTTTCCCGCTGGGATCCAGGGGGGCACGGAGGAAGGCTCGCTGTGGGTGAGGTACCAGCCGAATGAAGGCGGCTGGTAATTGGGAGCCTGGCCTTCCCCCAGTGCCCCTAAGCGCCAAATCTAATAGGTTTCCCAATCACATCACAGTCCCTGGTCAGCTACCGGAGCCTCAGCATTCACAGTAGCATGGGCAGAACCTGCAGACAAATCTATCGCACATACCCTGCTGTTTTCGTCGCTAAATATACGTATGTAAAACCTATTCAAGGGACACAATTCTATGGATATTACTATACAGAAAAATTATCTGAATGCTTTCAAGTCTTTGATGCTTTCAAGCATATCATCTTAGGTTAGTTTTCCTTCTGAGGCGGTAAGCTACTTCCTTTGACTGCAGGAGTAGGTCAATTATGTCTAAGAATTAATATAATAATAGAATCATATAATTACTAATTGCTTCCTCCTTTTATGTAATGAACTGAAAATAGCATAAAATAGTGGGTGTTTTATTTTCTCATGAAATTGGCAATATCTTTCAATCAGGCACTGGCAAATATTATTCAAACAGCTAAGCTTTCGTTAGATTTAATCCACTTGGTCATCAGGTGGTTACACACTGTTGCTATTTTACCCGAGACTAGGAATGCAACAGAATAAATAGAAAGATCTATAACTCACCTCAACTCCAAAGACAGTGCCTAAAAAAAAAAATAGAAACACAAAAGAAAAAAATATTGATATGCAGAGATGCAATATGTAAATTTCATGAAACAGTTAAATCCAGCGACCACTGACGACACGTTTATTTGGTTTAGGAAAATATGAAGTTTTGTATCATGCCAGTAGATGGTCCTAGGGTGTACTAATAAATAAAGTTTCATTGCACTTTTGAGGGGAGATAGAATGGAAAAGACAATAAATTAATCCATTCCTAAGCTGTTACAGGGAAGTGATAAAAGTAATTTAAATTGTGCATTTGTATAGTTTAACCTTTTCTAAAACAGTTCGTATCTGACGTTAAGAGTTGGAGGACATGCATATTTAAGAAGACTGCTGACCACTGGAACTGTCCATCTCCAGTCACGTGCTTCTCAGCTACAGGGAACAGCGCAGCAACCTTACAGAGTAATCCTAGGAGTTAAAGTTTTCATTTTCATTGCTCATTCAGACAGAGATAACATTTCTAACTGTTTTATTTTGCCCTTACATGCATTACTTCCATATATAAGTTCCTGCCCTACACTAGAACTGCTCCTTCAGGCTTTTGCTCCTATAAACGGAGATGAAAACAGTTGTCTGTACGAGGCTTGCTGAAATTTCAGTCTGACTTTTTGCTATGCTTTCTCAGGCAGAATATTTCTTCACGGAATAAGACTCTCCTCCACTTTTTGAGACTCAAACACTTTGCTAATAACCTGACCTCTGACTCAGCTGCAGAGATCTGAGCAGCACCACGGGAATTACTCACCTAGGCAGCAGCATAGGGCTACAGCCACCCGCACAAAGCCCCCCGTTAGCTTCATGGCTGACAGCGGTGCCGCGTCCGTGCAGGCTGCGAGCGCTCCGTGTAGGAGGCGAAAGTCACAAGCAGGAATATATAACACCCTGTACTATCAAACGGTCCCACCTTGTTATGTAACACTCCAAATCTGTCATCAGCACTGGAAGCCAGAATAAATTTACCCAGATCTGGATTTCTGGCTAATGATTCACACAGGAGTAAATGCCAGGAAGGGGCCTTCTGCGTGGCCAGATGCTCGAGGGGAACCAGACGCAGTGCCAGGCCACCTTGCTCCCAGCTCTGCCTGCCGTGCCTCGCGACTGCACTCCCGCTTGCCCGGCCACAGCACGTCCCAGGCTTACGTTTCCCCTGGGGCTCACTAAATGCAATTAGATCTTTCCCCTCCTGTGTAGTTTTCCATTGAGCTCCCAGCTGATAGCTGAAATCCTCATTATTAAACCTCACAGCGTGATTGTGTACTTTTCACCGCTGTATTTCATCCCAGTTTGAGTCCAGACAATTTCAGTCCAGAAGGTCACCCAGTTCTCTGCGGGAGAAATTCTGTTCTTCTGTTTTACAAACTCAGCAGTCGTCTGTTCTGTGCGCTAACTTTTTCTCTGCTAAGGCAAGTAGCAAAAATATTAAGTTTGGAAGAATCATCCCTTTGGTTGTTCACTCACAACTTCCATCCAGACCCATAGTACCCCCTGCTCCTACGCTGTCATCTCTCCTGTAGCCAGTTCCTCATTCACCTCTCCAAGCCGGCCTGACAGCATCCCACAGGGCAGCAGGTCAAATGCTTTGAAGCTCAGGTACTCTAGATCTACTGTACTCCTTTCATCTAGGAAGCCAGCCAACTTTGTAAAGACTGATATCAGCCCATGCATGATTTCCTTCAGGAAAATTCACAGTGCACATTATCCCTTTGCACTTCATGTATTTATTTTTCTTCAAATCCCCCTGAAGGCTTGCTCAGTATTAAAATGACAGAGTTGAAATTGGTCCTGAACACTTTTTCTTCTTTGTGTAAACAGTTATGCCATTTGGCAGTCTGTAGTCACCTTGTACTGCCCGTGTACCAAGCAGACATTTATGAAATAGCATACCTACTGGACCTGCAGGTTTGTGTGCTAGTTCTTCCAGAGCTTCACAATGAAGAGCATCTGCTTTTCCCACCTTGAGTGTATCGAGCAGAGTTTTGCTTCCAACTTTAGATGCGGTGATTATTTTTCCTTGATCTTGTTCTCATAAGTCAGTCTGCCAACACGTGTTGAGCACGCATTTCTCTGAATTTGGAACCCTAGATACACTATGCTTCATTTCTACCATATCTTTGCAGAGCAGAGGCAGCCACTCTTTCTCTCTGCACTCACACAGGTGACCTCTGTTGCATGCGTGAATTTCCTCTGCAGTCTTGTTCACCTTCATTTTTGGCAATTTTCTGCATTGATCTCAAGCCGAGACTTCTAAATTGGGATTCTAAATTCTTCGGTCCAGATTTTTCATTAACTTTTTCTCTTAATCTCTCAAATTCTCTACTTGGTAATCAAAATCCTTATTTTCAGATCTGTTTTTGACATAATTTAAACAGAGCGAACTCAGGTCGAATCACCCTGGTTTTACTTTCTAAGAGAAGGACATCTCCAATATCATTCACACATCAAATGCAAATTTAAAATAACACTTGGTGGTGGGGGGAAACGTTACCTAATGGAAAATTCTGTTTGCTCTCAGAATCAGGAGTGTCTGAGATCTGATAATATTAGTAGTTGGCAGTGTACATCTGCAAAGTTAAAGTCTCTCCAAATGTCAGCATTCCCAGCTGCATTAATCTCTAGTAACATTACAGAGGTCTCTAACCATGTATCTTGTTTTCATTCCTTCCCCCTAATATTCAGCTCTGATTTCTCCTGCCTGTCCCTTATCTCAGTTCCACCAAGTGTCAAAGACTCCAGACCTTTAGACCAATGCAGGTCTCCACTACAGTGACCCCTGTTTATCCTGATTACGATATCTGTCTCTCAGTGCTTTATTTCAGTCAAGACCATCATCAGTTAGTGCATCCTGGCAGAAGAAAATGTATCTTGACAATTTTATTACTAGAACCCCAGTCAAGTGAACTTCTGCCAATGTTCACAAAGATGACACCTAAAATCTTATCAGCAAGGATATATTATTTGCAAACCAGACCTGCAACTGAAATAGATTGAGTCAGCATGTTCTGTCAAGATCACAGCAATTCTCTCTCCAACTAAGTTATTCAAATTCAGGGAATGTTGGCAATAGGAGACAGTTCAAAGGCAAAGAACAGCAAACATCTGCCAGGAATCTAGAGCAGGAATCAAGATATAGAAATCATCACTGCAGCTATAGCACGTGTCCCTTGTCCCCAGCCTCAGCCAGCCCTTGCAGTGCTGGGCTTTGCCTTCTGCACAAGGAAGCCCCACGACACAACTCCCTTAGGGAGCCAGCTGCTTCATCAGTGGATTCAGCAGTCTGTCAGTACGGAGCCTTTCAGAGCCTCCAGGTTAGAGCAGAAGACAAAAGCCAACCTAGATGCATGACAGCAGCATGTCCCACCCGGCCTGAGCAGGGACCTGCCAGAGGGAGAGACTGGTGGTGGTCCCTGACTGGTTACACCCCTGTGTCGGTGTAAGCCCCCTCACTCCCCTTCGTCGCAAGAAGCCTATCTGGCCTGGCAGCCATGGACATGAGCGTGGATAAGGTCCTTTCTTCTGCTGCCTTTCCAGGTTACCTGTAGCCACAGCCGTGAAGCAGTCTGAAGCGTTGACAGAGCTTCATTGACACAGGCAAAGAAAGAAAGTGGCCCCTTTGAGGCCAGAAGGCAATAAAGCCCAGTCACCTCTTCTTCATAAACATAAGCAGAAATTTCCTGTGCTCCATCTGCAAACCAGGTGCGTGGCTGTGGCTAGCCTGTGCTCAGGCCCAGTGCTGGGTGCTCAGCATGGACCTGCCAGCCTGCAGAGCTAGCTGCGGTACAAGGCACGCCAGCAGGGCCCCGGGGCGGCACTTAAAGAGCACTTTGGAGCGCTGAACATGAACTGACCGCACATGGGTGAAGCGTTGTGAATACGAGAGCTTGAGTCTGAAACCAAAAGCACAGGGCAATGCGGCTGCTCCCTGAACACCCAGCTCGCTCTGGCTTACTCCAACACAAGCCACTGTGCGCGCGTGTGTGTGTGTGTGTGTGAGAGAGAGAGAGAGACAGACAGACAGAAAGAAATGGAAGAGTCCCATTTCTTTCCTGCATTTCTTTCTTTTCCTACTACTGTGAATTAGGAGGCATTTGTGACAAACACAGAGTGCCTCCATTCTCTAAGACACAAAAGCGTTTTTTTTCTGGGGCCTTCAGCATTAAGGAGAATTGTGAATTTTCACCTGGATTTGCAATTTGCAACTTGTTGCACTCATATGTGATTATTTGCAGTTAACTATGAGTGGAGCTACTTGTGCTTTCCTGCAGGGGAAAGCTCTGAAGACTTCTTTCAGCTCACGTCTCATGAATTGAGTGTTTTAATGGGAGGGCTGGGTAGCAGGAGAGCTCCTGTAGCAGGTGGCAGAGCAGGAGAAATCCCAAGGAAATAACCTAAACAAGGGCTCCTTGTAGTAGAGAGGCCCTTGCAGGAAAGGACAAACAAGGCAAACAGTTATCAAGGAAGAGCCCCAAAGAGAGGAAAGAGAAAGGCTCATACACCAGTCCCCAGGATAAAGCAAATGGGATAGGCAGCAGAATTTGCGCTAATTGAGGGAAATAAAGCTGAAACCCTCAGGTACCAACTTGCAGCGGTTGCTTGGAAGGACTGAGAGTACCTGAGGGCTGTAAGGACAGCCGGAAGAGAAAGGTCTCCAAAAAATCCAGAGGGGGTCATTGCGCAAATGGTGTGATGCTTGTAAAAAGGCGCTGCCACGTAGCATCAGGCTTTCCACATCATGACTCACTCAGTTTGTGAGGGAGCAAACACCCCCAGCTGCAGGATTTCTGGCATTGTCTGCAGGCGCTGGCTGCAAAGGGAGCATCTCCGAAGCGCGCCACGCACGAGGTTCTCCCGCCGCGGCAGGCTGTAAGAGGAAACAGGAGTAAAACGCGCACAACTGCGAGGCTGCAAAACGACAGGCTGCGGCGGCCTGGGAAACACCCCTGCGAGTAAAAGGCCAGCTAAGGCATCTACCAGAGCCAACAGTCCTCAGGACATACAGAGAGCAGCACTGGCATCCCCCTAAGAATTGCATAGGTATCTCTGACACCTTTTATGAAAAAAATGAGAGAGACAAAGCCCCAGCAGAGAACAGTTTAGCTCAAGACCTGACTGTGTTTGGGACAACTTGATGAAAGGCTGAGAGAAGGAGGAGGCTAGTTAGAGGCCTGTGGGTTGAAGCTGCCAATTCTGTAAAGCCTCAGAAAATACTACAAATTCTCTGAATCTTGGCAAAAGAGACACCCTTAATCAGGTTATGATTTACAGCAAATTTTAGACTTCCCAGAGTGCTGTTACCTTTGCAGGTTTGCAGAGGACTGCTTTGACCTCATTACAGTGTTTGAGAGCAACACAAAGGATAACCAAGAGAAAATACAAAGGAAAGGGTAAAGAATTCCCAGCACTTCCTGAGCCTTTGCCTCCTGCTCTCCAGAAACCTCATGGAAGCAGCGTGTGGCCTCCCTCACGTGGGTACCTGCTGGGGCAGAGAGAGCTTTGGGAGGCCCTTAAAGCTATCTGCAGAAGGACGTCGAGAGAAAGACAGGAACGACTGGGGAGGCAGCTGAAAGCATGCCCGAGTTAGCGCTGCTGCCTCTAGGAGGTTTGCTGGCTGCATCACAGGCAGTGCTGCTCAATCACTGTCGTGTGCCGTTCTGGCAGACAGAGTTTTAAAATCTGATTAATAATCTCTTCTCAGTGGTTAAGGATTTTATTTGTGGCTGATTATTTCTGCTGGCAGCAGGGAGAAATTCAGAAGGTGCTCAAATATTGATAGAAGAGCCTACTGAGGACAACTTGCTCCTCAGCTCACTGCTTTAGCAGCACAGTTAACGCAGGTTTTACTGGTGATTGTTTCAAAAGTTAAATACTTGAAATCCACCACAATTTATAATAGCTTTCTCAAGTGCACTGATTTTCATTTCCAAGAATTTATTTTAAGCCTCAGATTATGTACTGCTTTTATAAAAATCAGGTACATGTCACTGCACATGATTTTAGCTGGAATTATTGAGTGGATGTCATCAGTGAACATTTGCACTGTCTGATATTCATCTTTCTCAAGCGGCGTAAATAACAGTCAAGAATTCACCTGCTGTATCAGCTCGAAGGCAGACGTGAATTTTGCATCTCCAGCAAAAACTAAATAGGACCAAACCGGTGACTTTCGCCCTGTGTAACCATATGTGGTGATGGGGTTTTTGGTTCCACGTAGAAATAAGTCATGACAATTTCTAACTCATAATGTTTGCTCACATTAAAATTCAGCATGCAAAATATTAACTACTATTTGTGTCAGAGTCTACTGATAATAACAACTCATAAACTGATAAATATGATGCATGGGAAAATAGCTTATGAGAGTTTACATCCTGTTCTCAATGGCTGCACCAGAAGAAAACAGGTCTTGAAAGCTTAACTGAAAAAATACAAATGTCTAGAGAGAACCAAACAAAATGGCATTAGGTGAAATCCTGCCAAAAGTTAACGTAATATCACTCAATCCTTATCTGCAGCAGAGAATATTTACAGACCAGGTCACAGCTAAAATGGACTCAAACACTGTGTGTGTTCACTCAAGGTCTTCTGGAAATTTCCTGTAATGAAGTTTATACAAATAAGGAATGTTTTTGCTTTAAGTAACAGCTATAAAAGAAGTACATGCACATTGCCAACAGATTTCTGTTACCCCACACCACGTATTCCTCCTTTGCATATCCCCCACTATTTTCAGGTGTGCTGTACTGATAGGTCCCAGCTAGCTAGAGGAGCATTTAGCTGAAAGACCTGACTTCATCTTAAAATAGGCTTCCAAATACAAATCAGCTAAATATATCTATAAATCAGCTACATCTCAAAACAACAGCACTTTTCCCTAAACAGCTTAAACCATTCCACAGTCACTCCCCTACCGACTCCGCAGAGAATCTCCCATTCCCACAGCTCTGCCCAGGTGGCCCACAGCAGCCTGCTGGGAAGCACCAGCAGGGTTGCTCATAGCAGGGGTTAAACGCAAAGCTGCGTTTGCACTTCGCCATTCCTTTCGCTTCAGGAGACTGCCCAGGAGATGGGCTCTGCCGATGCCCGCTGCCAGGGAGGCGAGAGGGCTGCACAGCCTCTGCTTCAGGCAGGCAGGTCGGGCCAAGGCAGAAAGGTAATCCAAAAGAGTGCAGTGCTGGTCTACAGGTCACTGAGGGCAGCCACTGGGCTTCCTGCTCCCAGGACTCTGCTGGCGCCATACGTCCAGTCCAGCCTGCTGACACCAGCAGGGCCAGCCGAGGGCCGTGCCAGAGGCGCCTTCAACTGCTCTGCGCTTGCAGGGCTAGAAACGCTGCAGCATTTTCGAGGCACCACTCCAGATTTGGTGCATCGTGGCTCATGGCACTGTCTCACATGACCTCTCAGAAATATTTGCTTTCTACAGCCCCTCAGAGCAAAGCAGCCTGGATTTCCCAGTGCCTCAGATGAGCCGGCTGGAGGAGGACACTTACCACAACAGTTAAACGGGTACCGGAATACTTTTGGTGCTTTAAAAGAGATTTTCATCTGTCGGTTTCCAAACATACATCAATTAAATCTCAAAACAACCCTCTGAGGTAGGTAAATATCTTTTAATGTCCGTTTTACAGGCAAAGAGAAAAGGGCTGAAGGGAGGTGAAGTGATTTACCCAAGACCCTGCAATGAGTCAGAGAGAAAACCTGACCCTCCCAGGCCCTTATCATAAAGCCCTGGACCACACTCTTCCTCTTCTGGCCTGAGATCTTCACCACATATTTACAGCGGCTGATGCACCCAAGGGTCTTCTGCATTTATTGTCTAACAGATGCTTAGTGTAAAGACAGAGGGAGCCTGGCAGGTCCCCCAGGGAGGTTTAGTGAAGGACAGTGACAGGATTCTGCTGAGTTATCTTTATTGTAGAAGCACACCAAGACACAGTGATGTGGCAAAGAGCCTGAGCAGAGCTAAGCCTGGACCAGCACCCGTGAACCAGACCTGGGGAAACACGAGCTGGGTCCCCTGAGCACTCCTCCCTCCACCTGAGCAAGGATGGGGCTGTCCTCCACGCAGTGGGGGGATAAAGGCAGCTTTGACAACACCGAGGACTTGTCCATTCCCTTGGTGCTTAAAATCAATCTTCCGTTACTTGCCCTAGAGAGCGGGAAAGAGGGAGGGAGATGGAGAGCTTATTCCTATAGTCCTGAAGTCCTACAATTTCCTGCTACGTCCCAGCGCTCTGCAAAACACCCAGCACAGTGGCACCCCAGCCCTGGGCTGCCACCAGAGGGAAGAGCACATGGCAGAGCCCTTTGCCCCAGCCCTGCAGCCTGCCTGGGTAAGGTTTGACAATCAAACCCTTGTGAAACGCTGCCTCCAAAGGACAGGCTGGCCAAAAGGGAATAAATCACAGTGCTTCTCTCTTTACCTTTGGTCACAGCCGATCCCTGATATCAGCTGGCAGTCTGAACTCCATTACTGCTGGAAAGAAAGAGCAAAAAATAAGTCCATCCCCAAGTGTGTCCACTGCTGTGTTTTGCTGGTAGAACATTTGTATTTATGCAACAACCCCTCTGTCCCACCAGTGTCTGCTCAGCCTCTGCACGAAGCAGAGGCTGCCGAGTGTGGCACCAGGGCAGGCAGGCTGGGAAGCTGCCAGCCCAGGAAAACAGCACTAATTTCAGCCTGAAGCTAGGTGCTTTTCACACCTAATACCTATCTGGGAAAGGTGCTGCTATTTTCATTTTCCTTCTTCTGCCTTCTTAGACAGTGACAAACTGACAAAACCACCAGCTTTGTAAGAAAACTAGGACAGGCTCATTGCAAACCTGAGAGTTGTCTGTTTGCGCTTTAAGAAACAGATTAAAAAGAAGGAGAAATTGGATATACGCCCCCACTTTTTTTTTTTTTTTTTTGCCTGACCTGTTGACTAAAATGGACAGAATGATGAATATCATATGGGGGACTTGCAAAAAAAAGCCTTCAAACAAGAAAAGGAACCATAAGAGATGTATCATTAAAAGTGAAAGGTACTGCAGGGACGCACAATTAATTCATCCCAGTCCTTATGACATCTATAGCATTGCAGAACCCAGTGGCAAGCAAGCTTGTCAAAAAAATAAAAATAAAACAAAAACAACAGCAAAAAACACAGAATCAGAGCTACGTTCACTCAGAGTAAAGTGGAGCAGGAGAGAGCACGCGTCAGGCGGGACCAAAGGAACTTGGTTTTGCCGCAGTGTTCACTGGGGAGGCAGCGAGCCTGGAGGCTGGCCAGCCTGAGGCGCAGGGCAAGACTCTCTCCATGAAAAGGTTTTCCACTACAGCAACGCACACTGTCTAGACGCACCTTTTAACGTCAAATCCCTCTCAACCCTCCCTTCTCGTTCCCCTCTACGGGAATGCCTTCCTCTTGAGAATCTGGCCACCGATCAGAATTTCCAGAAGCTCTTGCAAATTCAGTGGGAACTTTGCTGCCAGGAGTGGATGAGGGCACCGACCTACGTAGGGATGAGGCAGGCTGGACATATTTCGTCATCCGAGCCAGCGCCTCCACGACTAACTTCAAAATATGATCCAAAAATATGATCTTGAAGTTTGAAGAAGATTCTTTGGTCCTTTGCATTTTTGTTCTGCACATGACTGCTGTCTAAAATCATTTCAAATGCCAAAGGTGCTGCTGGAGCTGGTCTCCTCCCCATTTTAATAGCAAATACCTAGCATCTGGCTCTTCAGTAGAAGGAAGGAAGGATTCATTACACTGCAGGTTACCATCAGTTTCAGTGCCTGAAAATAACATTGCTCAGTACATGAGAGGAATTTTTCTCATTTATAGGCTTCCAATTCAGAAATAAGAGAAGCCCTTGCTGGACTCCACAGGTTTCAAGGAAACGGACTTCCATAAATGTCCAATCTGATTCTTCAGATGATACAATACACAGGGTAAGAAAGAGAATAAGTCATTGTGGGTGCTTATCGCTTTCCTTTTCAATTGATTCCCCCTCTCCTTGGAATACTTTTAACTTGGCTACGAATTATGAAGCTTGTTTGATTTTCAGTAAATGGCATATTCCCCTAGTTGCAAAGGCTTGAAAGCTGTAACAGCTCAGGAAAGGAGCAAACCAGAAAACAATCCCGACCTTGGCACAGTGTTGAGGGAATCCTCTCTATTTTTCAGCTGCACGTGATGTACCCACTCTCACTAGCCCCAGACAGCCTGAGCAGCGTCACAGGCAGGTTAGTGACAGCGCCTCCTCTCTCTGCGCTCCCAGCATACACCAGCCCATAGCGGCTTCATCTTAACTTACAAAAACACTGAAGGCCAAGACAAGAAGTCAGAAGACCTCCAGTGTGATCACAGGCAAAATCATCTTTCTCTGCACTGTGGTTTCTTCACCTTTAAAGAGAGTTAAGAGTATCCTGATGCTTTACAGAAGCATCAGGGGGGATGAGGGGGAAGAGGAACTGGAATGTATAATTTTTAAGTGTTTTAGCGAGCTGCTGGCATCCTAGCACTAAACGAAGGAGGGGCAATCAGCTACAGCATGATATCTATTTCGCAGTAAAGGTCTTTCTACCATGGAGGATGGACAATACTTTTTGCCTGCAAAAATATTGTAGGCCAATAATTCAGAACACATTCAGAAACCAAATTCATGCTCCAGAACCAAAGCTCCCATGCAAAACTTCACAGAACTTCTTGTTTTGGCTGTTTGAACGTTTTGATTCTCTCCAGGCTTGGAGCGGGAACAAATCTCAGCGTTTTCCTGAGGATGAATGTTCAGTGTCTCAAGAGTTCCAGTCTGTGTCAATACCAAGGCCACCTCCCCTCTGGGCACTATGTGGCATCTGTCCCCCCCCCCCCCCCACACACACACACATCCAAGAGACACAAACCGGGAGGGCCTGGCTACACAGCGAAGCACTGTAGACTGCAGAGCTGCTACTGATGGAGAAGACACAAAGGGCAACCGAGAAATGCTCAACTCATTCGCTGCGTGGGATCACACAAGAATGTCAAGGCTCAAGACCTTTCCCAAAAAGATTTATGATGTGCAACTTAGTGAATTATCATTTCCCAACTTTATCCCCGGATATTATTTGGGAAATAAGGCCTTTACAGTTTATGCAGTTCTGGTTTTCCTGTCCTCACTCACTCTCTAAAATCTCAGGAGGAAAGCCAGATGTTTTCCCAACTGTGTCACTCTCCGAATGGACAGCCTAGGTAAAAATACAGAGGCTATGCCTAAGTTAAATATTAAATTTAAGTCTGAACCTATATTTAAACCCATCTCATCTCCCACCCAGACCTCAAACACCCTACTTCTGAGCCTCTCACGCTCCTGAGGCGGACACGGGGTGGCAGAAGGGTCCCTGGCACGTGCTTGGAGCAGGATAGGGGACGCCACGGCCAGGAAGCACTTTGGGCAGCGCGCTCTCCGACTCCCAGCAATCCCCTCTGTGGGAATAAAGAGGAGGAGCTCAAGGGCTCCGATATCCCTCTTCCTCGGCAGCGCTCCCTGCCTTCCAGGCCCACAGCCAGGCTGGGAGGCAGACAGCCAAGCGTTTTACCTCGGCCTTCTGCCCCATGTCAGGCCCTGGGCAGAGCGGACTTGCCGTGATGGAGGGGACCTCAGCAGCACAGCTGAGACCTCCCGACTCCCCAAGGCAGCGTGAACGTGACGTTGATTACCCTGTTTGTTCCGTTTCAGTTAACCTGCTAGTTAACCTGCCTGCAGGATCAAGACGTTGACTCTTGGCTACTGCCGAAGCAGCGCGGCTGGCGGCAGCCGACAGACACTGCTTCTCATTCCTTACTCTCTCCCTCTGTTTCCATGCTGTTCCCATGCCCCATGGGAAGGGGCAACCTTTCCGCTTCAAATCTGTGCAGGCCTGCTCGGTCAGCCCCCACAAGCCCACGTGGTGCCAACAGGGGTTTTTCTCAATGCAGAGGGAAAGCCCAAGCATTCCCAGCCTGGGAATGACATCCTCCTTACCACTTCTGGGACAGGCTTTCGGCATTCACCTTGGTAGTTTACTGTGATGTAGTCTGAAGCTCTCCTGCAAAGGGAGGACAAGACATTGCCTGTTATTCACTTGCAATGCCGCAGCTCTCTGACATCAGTAGAGCCATCCTCTGTGGACTCCTTAATACTTTGATGCTGCTTCCAATAGGATGGCATTTATTACTCCCAAAATAATCTTATGAAAAGGCAGAAGAGGGATATGGGACTCTGGAAACTTGTGTATCTTAATTAGCTGTCATCAGATTCATCTCAGGCATTTTGATCTATGTTTGCTTAACAGCAAGGCTCCAAGGACACACTTGATAGTGAGTCATGATATATCAAAACAAACACAGTGCTGCAAAAGACACTCGGGAATGGTGGATGGCCCTGTATTACTGAAATCTCTCCGCCTACTCACATGGCAGCTGAACACAAGTCACATTCATTTTTGTATGTTTTCCCATCAGTGCCACAGACGGGTTGTGAGGATTTGCTGCAGAAAATCCTTCCACCCTTTACCCCGTGCAGAATTCGATCACAGTCCAGCTGAAGAGAGAAAGAAATCACATTTGGTGCCAATTCTCTTGCAAGACCCCTTTTTTAAAAAGGGCAACTTAACAGTACGTAAAATCCAAATGTTGCCACAGGACCCCTCTGCCCTGCGACATCTCCATCATGCCTGCAGCAGAGCCAGGGTCGTAAAGGGAGATAAAGCCCCCTGCTGGACCGAGCAGCCAGGCCCACAGGGCAAAGCCCTCCCAGCCCGCGGCCGAGGTGCCGCAGGGCAGCGCCGGGCACACACCTAGACCCACTTGCCCAATCTGCCTCGACACCTTTGGTCAGGGGAGATTTATTTCTCTGCCTGGGTCAGCGAGAAGACAAAAGCTTCTGCTACCTGCCACTAGTTCTTTATTGGCGCCCTGATAGCTGTTTTATCTGCAAAATAGCAGGCACCCGTTGGCAAAAATTAAAGAAAAACCTCTACAGCCAACTCCAGCTGCCTGAGTGTGGTGCAACAGGCAGCACAACTTCTGACACTCGCCAAATTAAGAGACACAAACATGTTAAGAGCTATGACTAAAGTGCATCTTATTTCCTCTCAAGCGTAAGAACGGGAGCATTTATGCCCAGTCTCCTATAAACAACGCGTGGCAGAACAAGGGGGAGAAAAAAACACCGCAGAAAGCGGCCTTCACCTTGCCTCTCCAGGGATCCCAAAGGGCCTCCCATACTTAGGTCTTCGCCCTACAGACCTGCCAGCGCAAGCATCAAGCAGCAGAGGTTGGAGATAGCGCAGCCCGTTCCCCACCGCACACCCACGTACACACACACACACTTTCTCAGCCTCGCTGCCCTCCTTGGCTGCAGGCATTCAAAAAAAGGTCAAGATGAAGGAGCGACTAATGGGTTCCCCTTCCCTTCTCTACATGCCATAAAACGTGTTGCAACAACTACAAGAGGTGCAACTGGAGGAGAGCAGCAGTGAGGATGTTTCACCTCCTGTCCCACCCGCAGACCCCCGCCCCTTTTAGCACAGAGCAACGTTTTATTGCTGCTCACCGGGGTCAGCGGCGCTGCCAGCAGGACAGAGCCACCACGCAGAGGAGGACGGCCTCGTGCCCAGCGGCATGGGGCGAGCATGGTGACGCCAGGCTGCTGTGATAGCACCTGCCGCTTCAACATCACTCACTCATTTCATTAATGTGCCGTTTCCTCCCTCATCTGCGTAATCGATGATGACATTAAGGCAAACAGTGCTGACCTTTGCAGCTCCCTGCCAGACTCCTTCCCACGCCCCAGACGATGCTGCCTGCCACAGCTTTCGAGCCCAGGGCAGCAGAGACTTTGCCGGCGGCGGGATGTTCCTCCGGTGCCTGCCGAGGGGCTTCCTGCGCCAAAACCCACCGGTGGCCCCAGCGCGGAGAGGGTCAGGCTTGCGCGCTGAATCACCTCGCATTAGCTGGGCTAATCGGCATCCACTCCTCTGATACCACCAGGAAACACCACTAAGCCCTCAAGCAGCCTGTCGTTATTACAGCCTAATGCTCCCTATGGAATGCATTAAAATTGCCGTACTCGAACCACCTCCTCTTTTTTTTTTTTTTTTTTCCCTCCAGGAATCCCACTTCAAGAGCAGTCAATGATAGAGGCTTCGCAGAGGGTTAATGTGATTTGCAGTAAAGCTCCCCCCAAGCCCCATGGAAAGGTCTCCTATCCCTTCCAAAATGTTTTTAAATTACTGCATGAAAAAGCTGGAGGAACTCTAAGTGGCATCTTTTTTCTTTTTTTAATATCATCTTAGCTTTTGGCAACACTCTGTGGCAGCGAGTTCCACAGCTCAGTCACACATTTAATGGTAAATTATTTTCTCTTATCAGTTTTGCATTTTCCACTGTTTGACCTCATTAAAACTTTTGCTTTTTCATTTTGTAGAGACAAGAGCCCCGATCCCCCCTCTTAACTCCATATACAGCCATCACCTCTCATTCGGCGTTTCGCCCTTAGCACCCTTTGCTGGCCTTTCCCTAGGCCCTCGGTCACCACATCACCCTGCTCTGGGCTGCAGCCCTCGACTCTGTACCTCTCCGACATCTGTGGGGTATGCCCCTTGCCTCCCTTTGGATATTTTTGGGGCAGGTGTCCAGCTCAAGGCCAGCACCCCCTGTAGCCAATGCACAAGGAGCCAACTCCAGCAGTCAATCTGGCTGAGGGGGCTCCCAAATCTGCACACCCAGCCCCCCTCCGCCTTGGTGCCGGGGTGGGGGATGCAGGGGGCAGTGACAGGGTACAGATGCTATCTCTCATCCAGACCCTTCCCAGGACACAGAGCCCAGGAAGCAGTTTTAGGCTCTGAGCTGCCGCAGGAACATCTGCTGGGGAGGGAGCTGAGAGGGCGGCTTGGCCCCAGCACCATCCCGCAGGACCCGCGCGAAAGCTCCCCGGTGCAGCTCGCCTGCCGCGCAGGCGGGTTTACCGGCTGGTAGGTGTCCATGTCTCGGCTCTGTCCTTTGTGGTCAAGGCCAGGGTCATAGCTTCCACCTCTCTGAGCTGGGTCTCCTTGTGGGCTGGCAGGGAGAGAGGAGGAGAGTGAGCTCATCTCAGGTCCCTGCGGGCACGGGAGGATAGCGTAGACCACCCACGACCATGGACCCCTGCAGACCCCCACCTTGGGGAGCCGTACACTCGACAGCAGGGACTGAACAGGCAAGAAGCTCAGGCGAAAGCACACCTGACGGAGCCCTGTGCTCATCCGGAGCGCATCGCTGCCCCGGGGCAGAGTGACACCGCTTTCAGGGGCGATGGCATTCGTTTGCAGCTTTTTTTAAACAGAGAGCTTGCCTTGCTTGTCTTTAACCTTCAACCCTTTACCCAGGGTCTTTGAGTCTGCAGGGCGATCAGCGGAAGATCCCTGTTACAGAGATTATCCCGTAATCAGAGGACAAGTTTCTATAGCCATCAGGGACACGGCGAAAGCTCTGCACCCCTGCCCGTCCCCAGGCATCACTGCGGGGGTGAAGGGGCTGCATCAGGCACCCTCAAGCAAGTGGTGGCAGAGCTCCACAGCAAAGACTGTGCCAACCCTCCTCCAGGCTCCAGAAAAGCAGCAAGAGCAGCCCTGCATGGGTTGGAGAGCTCTAAAACACAGGAGGCCCTGAGCAGGGCCCAGAGGCATGCGGTGTACCAGGCACCGCGTCTGTGCACACGGGCATGGGGAGGACGCGCAGCAGGCAGGACACAGCCGTGACAAGCCAAGAGGCAGAGTTTGCTGGGCAAAGGCATCATGAGAGGCATTTTTGAACACAGAAATCACCCAGTGCTTTGCACAGAGGAAAGGCGAGGACATTCTTGAATGGGAGGAGACACTAGAGGCACTAGAAACGTGCCTGGCTCTTAGTGTCTCTTGTCACAGAAAAGAGCCTTGGCAGAGCCCAGCTGGGGACACTCCTCCGAGAGCCCATGCATGCACGACATGGCACTAAGCTCCTCGCACAGCCCCGTTCCTCTGCATAGGCCTGAGGGGTGCGCAGGGCTGTGCAGCCCCGTGTCTGCAGGAGAAACTACAGGCGCCAGCATCACTGCAGTCACATCTTTGCCAAGAATGACAACCCAGCCCCATGTGCCCTTCCCAGGAAACGGCAACAACACGGTCCCCTCCCAGCCAGAGGGGAGAAATGCTATATTAAACACCCAGCACGCTGCAGTGTTCAATTCTCTATCCCAAGCACACTCCAGAGTTCAATTCGCTATCCAAGATACTGCTGTCTGTGCGCTAGTGAGCCAATACAGCTATGATTAATTCCTGACGGTTTCTAGAGAAATCAGGTCGCATGCAGAAGGCTGCAGAAGCCAGAGCAAGGGCCGACGCAACGGGCCAGGCTGCCGCACCAGCCGCTGCCGTACTCACCCTCTGCTTGCTGAGAAGGGACGCTGCCCACTCGCTCCCTGCTGTGACCCCAAGCCGCTGCAGCTCTTCTGCAAAAGGGGCAGGAGCACGTTTATGAGCGTAGAAGAAACTCTTGTACTACCAGACAATAAGCAAAGCTAAAGCATTTCCTGTCCTTCCCAACTCCTGCTCCCAGATCCAAGGAAGTGGGAGGCTGTTCCTGGAAAAGCACATTTGATGCCTGTTCCAAACAGGTTTTAATAACCACTAAAGATTATCATTTGAGGGCAGGCAGGACTGCAGGGCATCCGAATCTGCCTTTTATCTTGGGTATGGCATCACACCACTGAGAAAGCAAGCGGAGTTACTCTGCCAGGTCCAAACATGCCCATTTTGTACGTTCACATATGAGCACAGCCCACAAACATATGCGGCTTTATAATGTGACCTGCTTCTCCCTCATCATTAGCTGCACCAGCGTCATACCAGGCTGACCACAGATGGTCCCTGGCATCAGTATCACACAGACATTCTCACCAGCCTTGTCTCTGTGCTCAGGTGAGGCACCCACCACCAAGGCAAGCAAACCTGGTCTCACCTCAGTTTTCCTCTCTGAAGTGAGCGCTTGGCTGTGCTGGGCAGTTGCCCCAGACTGGCCTCCTCTTTGGGCTTCCTTTTTGCTGGAAGGAGAGGAGAAACAGGGAGCGCTATGGCCGTGTGAGCAGTGCCCAGACCCGAGGCTGCCCTAGCACCCAGCACCATGCACCACCCTCCCCTTCCATGGTCCATGCTCCTGGTGGCTCTGCTCCTAATCCCCACCCCTAAACCTTCTCCCTTCTCCTCACCATTCCCACTGTATGCTACATCCTGGATCCGGGTGGCTGCTTTCATATCAGGGCTGCTTCTGCAGATGCACTATGGGAGTAGAGAGAGCGCATCTGGAAGGCAAAGTACACGCATGGGAAACTCCTCAGGAACTGCCACAGCAGAGACAGTCCCCTCGGGAAGGAGGTTGCTAGCTATCAACCCTGCTTATCCTCTACTCCATGTCGCTTCTCACCTCTCCCAGGCCTCTCGCACCAAAGGGAAAGTGGGAAGAGGGGCAGTGATGGAGCCCTACTGTGGGACCATCTCTTGGAGGCCACTGGGGTTCAGGACTCTCTCCCAGGCGCTGCCTAGCTGCAGCTCCACAGGCAGAAACCGCAGTTTTGCGGCAGGGGTTTCCCTCTTTGCTGTCGTTGCTCAGAGGAAGCTGTACTCACAACTTCTCAGCGCACATGAGACATTTGTTGCTGTGCTGCTTGCCCGAAGAATCACGAACAGGGTCATTCTCCCTCGTGCAGGACAGCCTCCCGCCAGCCTCGAACTGGGAGCGATACTCACTGCAGTCATCCTGCAGAAGGGAGGGCAGCGTTTAGGGCAACCTGTCTTCCTTGCCTTAGTGATCTGATTCCTAGGAACTTGGGGTTTCCTGCCAGGAAAGTATCAAACAGTCACAAGTGCAGAAGAGCCTGGGTGTGAGTGAGAGAAGAGGGTGTGCAGCACCAGCCACTTACATCTAAACAGAGGAGTGAGTCAGAAAGATTATAGGTCCCTCTGCCAGCACCACATGTGCTGGGAGTTTTCTAGTATGATCTGACTAATTATTATGCTCCGTGCTGGGCTATCCAAAGCATGCTAGCAACGTGGCTGGTAAGGTAATGAAGTCCCTCCCACTACTCCCAACATCCTTAAAACACAAGTTACAGCCTTTTCTGAGATCATAGCTCAGTTAATAGTTTAATTTACAGAGCAAGGAGTACCCCCAAAATCAATCAGTTTGGTATACATGGATCAAGAAGCGATAGATAAAACATAAAGGCACAATGCAAACATACTTAAAAGTCCACGAGTAGCAGAAGGTTCTTTGGAGAGCAGATGACTGCTTTGTTCCCTGCTCAAAATCACTGTACAGAAACCATGTTAATTTGACCCATTCTGTAACACAGATGTAAACATTCAATCCTTCTAACTTCAAGTATTTCAGATACTGCAATAGCTGATTTCAGTAGCAGATATTGAAGATAAGTACCCGGATCTCAGTTACCCTTTTTTATAAATAGGTTTAACATTTGCTACTTTGTGCCTACTTTCTGTATTACAAGATTTTGGCTAGGTTGCATTGAGGCCCTCAGCAGGACAGTGGTCTCATCTTTTGCTCACCTTAAAAGTCTTCAACACCTCGTCCTCTCTGGCTAGAAGAGGATTTCCTCATCAGCATGTTCCTGCATCTCACCCCTGGAGACCTCAGCCTCAGGGCTCTCAGCTTTGCTGCTGAACACACACTGCCAGCCACCGAGCAAGGTGTTCAGATTCCCAACACCCACATCTTCCTACTCTCAAACTGGCCACCAAGAGGAAATGAGACCTGAGGGATGCACAGGACAAGACAAGAGACCGGGCAGATCCTCACCCTGCTCTGGCTGGCAGCTGCATCACATTGCTCCCATCAGAAACATGTCAAACTCCGCTTTGGAGGAGCCACCCAAAAAACGCACTGCTTTTTCGCACTGCTTGTTGGTGCTCACTTGTCCTTACGCAGTTTAAGCAGTGTTTTCCCTGCCTGGTGTGCTCTGGGAAAGCTCTCCTGGCCCCTGCCAGCCTCCTCGCCCAGGATCAGCCCGGCTAAGCGCTCTGAGCCTCAGCCTGCAAGACAGATTTGCCTTTCCCCGATCGTCCTAACAGCCTTTCTCAAACCATCTCCCTTTGATTTAGTATTTCTGGGGCCTTGTTAACTTCCTGACCTCTATTACACAAACCTCCCTGAGTAGATCCAAGACTTGCATTTGCCTTTCTCATGGGCCTATCACCACTGACCTGCTAATAAATGCAGGGATTTCTTATCCTTTGTCGCTTCTAATTGATAAGCAGGGATTCTTGTTAATCACTGACTGTGTGATCTTGCACTCTGTTACTGCATTTTATCTTGCTTCTATTACTCCAGGCCTCAGCGCTATCCAATTAGTCCTGTGTGATCTGCTAATCCTCCTCTGCCGCCCAGCTTTGCCATCAGTAAACTTCACTCACTCTTCTGGCTTTTTGTGCCAAGGGAGTTAGGAATAGCACCAAAATGAGATTGGCCCCAAGGCTGAGGCTTAAGGGGACTCTGCCAGTCCCCTGCACAAGAGAAAGGTTGGAAAGTGACTTTTTTCCCTAAAGAATTGTTTTTGTCAGTGAAGCGTCAGTGTCCTGGGCCACAACGGGCACAGCCCGGACCGGCAACGCACAGCGGGCACAGCTGCGTGGTGCGAGCAAGGTACCATGGGCCCCTGGGGACAGTGCAAGGCTGTGCTCTCCTCCCAGGATATAGCAGTCTTTTGAGCTTCCCAGAGCTCAGATTTGGAGCTTTTCTCCAAGATTTTTCTTTTTACCCTAAACAGCACCCCCAGCAAGTCTGGCTTCACCATCCTTGTGCCAGATTTCAAGACAGTACAGCATATTTAGTTTCTTTCTCTGATGGGATTTGCCCCGGTCTGTGGCTGGAGCCATGGGTCAGTGAGACAGATGTAACATTCAACAAAACCTATCCAAATTCCTGCCTCCCAGCTGGTAACCTCAGGAGCTCACAGGACCAGCGCAGGGCTCATTGCTCACTAACCCTGGTGGCAGCTATGGACCGGCACTGCCGCTTGGAGGTGGTTTTGATTGCCGAAAATGAAAGACATGTAATTTGTTCACTTGGGGCCTTCAGGAGCATGAACAAGAAACGAGCAGAGAAAGGAAAGTGGATCTCAAAATGAAATCAGTACAGACAAAGCAACCGAGTAGAATACTGTTGCCCCGTCTCATCTTGAGCGAAAATCCAATAAAGTTGTATATCGACCTGCCTAATACTTTAATCTCACCTTATCTTTTTCTTGTCTGTTTTTAGATAACTTCTGCTCATTCTCCTTTTTGCTGGAAGAGAAGCAAGATGAAAAAGTGAGTAAAATATTGCTCTCAGGGAGGGAGAGGCTTGCTCTGCTGACAGCTATACGAGGGGTAAGCAAATCCGTCCTGTCTGGTGTCAGCAGCCAGGTTGTCCAACAACGGCTTTGTCAATCTAACAGAAAAGGTATTTTTCTCTACTCACAACTTCTCTGCACACATGATGCACTTATTGCTGTGTTGCTTCCCAGAGGAATCCCGGACAGGGTCATTTTCTCTTGTGCAGGAAAGTTTCCCTTTTTGGAACAGATCCCGAAATTCTCGGCAGTCATCCTGTGGAAGGGGCAAATACAAGACTTGATATAGATGTGTTCGACAGAGATATAAATCCCACTAGTCCACAAAGGATTATCCATCCACTGAATTACACGTCGAACACGATTTTGTTTCCTTTAGGCATAAGTAAGTGGCAAGCCAGAAATTGTTTGCTTGATATGTTGACTTTTAAACTATAGCATACAACATATAGCAAACAAGTCAGTAAGTTTAGCAGAACATAATTCTCCTTTGCATCCAAAATAGTCTTATTTCTCTAAGGCATATGCAAGACCCCGCCAGAAGGACCTAGGTTCTGCTCGAAGTATAAAAGCAACAATTTCGTAGTGAATTCTGAATTAGGAAGAAATTAGTTTCCCCATCTCTAGTGAGTGAACATGCTAATAAGAAATTTAAAAAGCTGTGCCCAATAAAGAGAAGAAGTGTAGGCATTAAAAAAAAAAAAAATCCTTGCACACCTCATATTTCCTGATATGTGAGAGTAAAAGGTGACCATTTTTACATTCCATAAAACATAATTCTATAAATTAATTTAAGCAAAGTGCCCTTTTTTTGCAGGAGACTTCCATGGCAAAGCCTGCTTAAGCATTTCAGTTTTGCCTTTGCTTTCCTCTGAGCAGCTTTTCTACAGCTTTCAGGGCACGTTAGCAGGTCTATAGCACAGGTTCTGTGCATATGTTCTGTGCCAAGTCTTTTAGGATCCTTTCCACAGCACTTCTCTGGGCCCCTTTTCAAGGTTATCTGCCCTGTGATGATCTGTAATGCGTTTTTTCTGACTCACACTGTGTGGAGGAGATAGTTTTATGACTTATTCCAGTTCTGCGGATGGGGAAGTCAGGCCCAGAAAAATGGTAGCCAAAAGCCAGACAGAAAATCTGTGATTGAAAAAGACATCCAGTGCAAGTGTCTGCCTGGCACCATGGACTTCCTCTTCTCTTGGGACCATACTTTGGTAAGCCAGATGTTTAAAAAAAAGATTTTCTCTAGAACAGCTGTGCTTTACAAATCCTTTAAGTTGTTTGGGCACACAAGAGCTAGTGAGCTATGTCATTTAACCAGGAGGTGTAAAAAAAACAAGTCACTGCAAATGACAATATCTGATGCAAACCATTTTGCTCCTATACAGGATAAGGGACTAAGACTGAAAAGGACAAGTCCCTCCACAAAAAGACATGCTATCTAGAAAAACAGCTGCAGGTAAAAGAAACTAGCCAGGTACATCAACAAGATAAACAAGGCACAATTAGAGTTAACCTGCTCCCACGCCCTGCCCTCATCAGGACACCATTATTGCTATTAATTATTAGATGCCAAAGGTGTGCTTTATAAACAAGCAGGTATCTCCCTTAGCCTACCCCGTGGCTCAGGCGCAGACCATGCACGCCACACTGGTAATTCCCTGATAGGGACTAGATTGCCTGGGAGGAGCTGGGAGGAATTCCGGTTTCTTTTACGCCAGTGGACAGCACAAAACGTCACGTTCCTTCAGACGGTCTTGCCGAGGCAGAGGGTGTTTATCAGCTCTGGCCCTCTCGCGTCAGCCGAACTCGCGCTCCCCCGCTGCGGTAGGGAAGCGCGCTCAGCCAGCGGGGCAGACGCAGGAGATGCGCGCCGCAACGCCACCCTCCTCCCAACGCGCCGATAAAACTGGCTTTGGCAGCGACGTTTCACCTCACCTCTCTTGAGGAGTTCACGTTCCTGTTTGCCTCTCCACCACTCCCTTTGTTTTTCGAGTATCTTTCCCTGCAAGAGAGGGAGGCGTGAGCAACAGAGCAGTGCACAGTCCTCAGACATAAAACCAAAATAGCTAGTGATTAAAGGCCAGTCCCGCCAACCCCACCTCCTCCTTGTGCAACGTGGTGGGAGGGATTGGGACTTGGGGCTCCAGCTCAGTGAGACATGCCCCAGCTATTTAGCATCTCTTCACCAGGGCATTTTGCCATCCTTTCGCTCTGCCTAAGAGCCAGGTGTTTCCACTCTATTAAGCATCATCTAGGGAAGCAAGACAAACTAAATCCATGTGTGTTTTCATCCTGGGCTTGCTCCTCATGTCCCCCACAACATGCGACTAGCTGAGGAGAGCTGGCAGGGTTCACGGGTTTGCTAAGACCTATAGACTGGTCTGTCTGACCCCAGACCACAGTGAGACCATCACTGCAGGAGGAAGAGACATGCCGCTGAAAGCCAGGACGGCAGCCCAAACCGACGCACTGCCTGCTGTGGAGCAGGGCTGGCGGCCAATACTCACAGCAGCCGTTTGCACATCAGACATTTGTTGAGGCCGGTTTTCCCATTGGGGCCACTAACAGGCTTGTTGTCATTGGGACAGGAAAACTTCCCGCTGCGTAGGAGTGACCAAATTTTTCTGCACTCATTCTGAAAAACACACAGGAGGCAGGTCAGCAGAGACCTTCCTCCAACGCTGTTGCTGGGAGTTTAAGAACCACCTGTCCGAATTTAAGACTGTTTTTTTCGGTGGGCTCTGCGCTATTGGCAGTGACGGTCTGTTGCTGCCAGGCCCCCTCACCCCCTCCCCGTCCCACGATGCGCGTGGGGCACACTAAGCATGCTGCACCAGGAGCTACACGGCTCCCAGGGCGGAAAAGGCAACGAGAAAGTTCAGAACTCATCGGGAGGGCCGTTACTCATGAGAAAAGGAATATAGGTTTAATTTGCCCACAGCTACAAATTGCTACCCACTGCAGGGGAGTTCTCTAAGTTAGCCAAGAGCAGAAAACATAGCCCTAAAATTGCCAGCTGGATGCAAAAGTGATGAATCCAACTGAAGAGTGCTTCAGGTGCAAGAGATGAATTTCAGAAGAGCATTATTCTCTTAAGAAGCAGAGCGTTAATCGTCTCTAACACTGTATCAACCAATTCTCTCTTCTCTGGGGTAAATGCAAGTACAGATTATGGGGAAAAAAAAAAAAAAAATCAATGAACCATTCAGTTATTTCTGGCTACCATGTTTTCTAAAAGCATCTTTACTAAGGAGAAAGAAAATCATTTGAATAAAATATGAACCGAATTGACTTTTCTGTCATTGAGTCAATCATTTTCTGACACTCAAACAGATTTGGCTTAATTTTTTTTTTTTTAAATTATCAAGGTCAGAAATTGTTAAAAACAAGAGTTTCTGCTGGATCAGAAGCCAAAGTTGTAAATACCATTAGAAACACAACTCACGCTATTTCTAACTTCTCACGAGATTTCTAGACTAGAGCTGTTCAGGCGCTTACTCAGCACAGTACACCAAACATACAGACTGCCAGCTAGACCCACTGCTCATTATAAATGTATCATCTCCAAAGAAGGAAAAATTCACTCCCTTTTTTCCTGCCACTGAGAAATATTACAATCTTTCAACTCGGTCTGTTCGCTTAACTTTGCTCAGGGTATGCATTAAGCAGTGCAGATGGCAAAACACAAGGAGAATTGGAATAGAAAAGGTTGGACTCGCCTTAATCGAAGCTTGGCTGGCAACATCTACGACAAAAAACAAACAATGAAACCATACAGAATCTTTGAAGGAAAATTTTAAATCAAAACCATTTAATTAAACACTTGATGCAGTTTCCTAATCCACCCAAATACCTCTAGATAAAAGCTAATCTAATACATTACGGCACGTTGGTAGAAAGGACTGTGTAAGAGATTCTTTTCCTGGAACATTGCATTTTTTTGTCATCCAAATGCAAAAGCATATCCATTTTTTGCATCTTTATTCCTTCCTTTACTGTGTTACTTTTCTCAGTCTTAGAAATCAAAGTTTCAAGGATGGTTCAACAACTGTTTCTTAACTGTTTTCTCCCACTGTCTTGCTATTGGTATCAATTTTGTACCCAAACATTTTTGGCTTTCTTTATCTTCACTTAAAATTGGGGTTCCAGAGCGGGCCCATAATGTTGTTGCTTGTCCAAATTTTCAAATTCCTTTTCAAGGCTCATTCCATTTGCCACACTTTACATAAATTACCAGATTAATAATGATTCAGTAGATGGGTAGCTACTATCTATTTCTTTCTGCTAAGCCGTTTAGAGTCAGTATAATATATGTTTCATCCTTTTCTCTTGCATCATCTGTGGCATCACAGGGAACTACCAAATCCTCCATTAGCTCTTTTTCAATATAGATAGGTATTAATGTGAAAGACCTTTACATCAAATCTAAATGTCTCCTGAAGTCTCTTTATAGTAGCTATACAAAAACGTATTCATTAATGAGAGAGTTGACAAGAAATTTTCATTTTCCTGCATTCACCAAAAAGCGTATTACACCTTTTTGCAAAACGTTAAACTACTTTTATGCAAAAATTCAGTCCAGCTGGAAATTAGTATTCCTCCGCATAGACTGCTTTGGAGGTGGGGGCGGGGGGTTACTGTTACTAAACTCCACTAAGAATAGATATTTTTCACCAATTGGTGGAACTTCACCATTTTCACATGCAAGAGAAAAGGCCGCTATTAACAGTGCTATATAAAATCAATACCATAAGTACTACAGTAAAAATGGTGGTGGTCTTGTTATCTCAATGGTTATCAATGGTTATCTCTTGCTATCTCACTGCTTTTAAGGGAGCTCCCAGGCTGCGTGCCATGCCAGTCCCAGCTTTCAGCACAGAGAACATCAGAAGTTACTGACCTGAGAAGAAGCAGAAAAATGCCAGAAGAAGGACCACCGAGGCACCTTCTATTTTCATGGTGAGGGTGGCAGTTGTTTGCCTACGTTGACTCTACTAGGGCATTGCTCAATGAACCCAAAGGAAGGGCTCAGGTCAGATCATGTATATATAGATGACCAGATTCTCCGCCTCCATTATGACATAACCTACCCAAGAACGATCATTAGCCACAAAAACCAGTCTGATGACAGTAGCTCTAAAGTCTAATGATCCCATTAACACAATTAATTTCCATAAGGATGGCACATATTTGAGTCACTCCCTGCATTTTGTCAGGGAAGAAAATTACAAATGGATCATTTCAATTTCCCCACAGTGCTGGAGGAATTCATGCTGACTTCAGGGTGGTTTGTAGGACAGAGGTACTTCAGTTGGCATATCACTATCTTCTTTTCATATCCCAGCACAATAGCTGAAAGGGTTTTATTTTAGTAACTTGGTCCCAGCAGAAAAAAAAGGAGAGCCGGGTCACTCAAGACCTCTGGAAGCCAATCTATTTTTATTAAAGCACCCCATTATGAGTAAGCCAGGTTTGATGCTTTGTTGAAACCCTCTGAGTTTGTTCCTAAAGTTTACATAGCAGCAGTGCTAGCGAGATAAGCACGTTGCAGAATCCTCATCCCTTCCCTATCTCTCCCTGTTAACTTCAGAAAAAAGGGTAACGTTATTACGGAAGACCTTTTCTCCATCCACATGGGACTTTACAGGCCACAAGAGTACTGCTCTTCAAGCAGATCAGTACCCACAGAAGTGTAACATTACCAGTGCTACAGGATCCAGCAAAAGTACCCTGCTCAGGGCTTCCAAAAGAAAAGATTAAAAAAAAAAAAAAAAAGAGTTGTTGCTCTGTGTGATGTTGCTCAGAAGATGCAAGAGGAAAACAAAGATGATTCCAAAGTTTTGGAATGCAAGTTATGTGGGAAGAAACAGGATGTCTTGTTCTCTGGGGAATAGAAGAATTCAGAGGGAAGTTTCATATGCGAGGTTAGAAATAGGTGAATAAAAGAGAAAGAGTCAAACAGACCACAGCAACAAGTAAGCGGGCTGCAGCTGCACAGAGGAGAGGCAGGTCAGTGCCCTCCCAGGAAGAGAGAAAGCATGCTTTGGCGTGATGTGTGCAGATGGGCCAGCACAACTCAGTTCCAAATATTAACCCTCATAATAAATAGGTGCCACACGTTCCCCAGATCAGAGTATTTGTTAGTATTTACAGGTAGATCCAAAGCCAAGTAAAGTAAGTGAAAGTCCTAATTTGGTCTAGGCTGATCCCTAACGTTTCTTCTCATGTCAAAATGAAGGCGCATACAGGTTCACAGTGGTGAACTCAAAACAAAAAAGTAAACAGCCTAAGGTCATACAGATGGCTAGTGGCAGTGAAGAGCTGTGTAGTGTCCTGAATTCCAAGATAATTTCTGCATTCATATTTTAGCTTGGAATTAGCAGGAAAGCCAGCAGGAAGAGAGGGGAAACTCCCCTGAGAAGATAATTCTTAGTAAATCCTCGGGATTAATTGAGAAATTGAAAGTGAGAATTGAAGAGGCCTGGGAAGGGGAAAAGAATATATAAATATAGATATAGACGTTTGGTAGTTTAAAAGGGGTATAAGAGTTGGAAGTCTATTTGATGGACAAAACAAGAGATGTTCTCAGTTGCTGATGTGTCTTCCTCGTCCCCGTCACAAAATAAGTGACAAAACGACAAGTAGGGGAGGCACTTTTGTTTGCAGGTTTTGTTTTAAAATCTTCTTTTCCTCTAAGAGCTCTATTCTATAGTCAAGGGAAATAATTCCTTCCTTCAAAACAACTGGCTGGCCATCCTGTCCCTGAAAGGAGCACCGCAGGTACCAGATCCAGTCAGACCTGCTGGGTGACAGCACCTCTGGGCACTGGCAGCCTAGTCCACATCGAGCAGGTGGAAGGACAAAGACCCAGGCCCAGACACCAGCTGACCCTGCCACTGCCGTGTCTCGCTCCCATCCTCCGATCTGTGCATCAAGCACATTCACACCAACATATGGGAGAAAGTCAGAATGCACCAAATGCTCTTCATGACCAAAAACAGAACTATGCTCAGTACCAACTCTTCGAAAAACAGAAAGAAGGATTTTTCTGCCAATTACTACCCTGTAAATACAGCTTCCTAAAAAACAAGAAAACGGGAAGTAAGGAGACAGCGAGAACCCTGCATAGCCATAGCGTTTGAAGGAATTGCTCCTGTCTAGTTGAGTTACAAGAGGAATCCCGAGCAGAATACCAAGGGAAGACAGCAAGATGGAGCAATGCGCCACTGAGGAAAGCTGCTGAGAGGAAAGAGGTGCTACAAAGACCCTTTTGTTCATGCCTTAGTTTGTATTTTGGAAGAAAAGTAAACAGCATATAAGTGATTCTGTCCCAATTAAGATGGCTCTCACTAGGTCCTTTTTCCAGCATCCACCGCTAGAAAGACTAGGAAATGGGTTAAAAAAATAATCTCTGAGGAGCAACTGGGAAAACGCAGGGAAAAGATGGAACATAGCCTGAAATTTAGGCAAAAAGCCTGTGAGGTAGAAGCCTAAGAGGCTGCGAGGAGACCCAGGGCCAATATAGGGGTGGGCAGGATACTACAGGCACAGGGGACACTCACCACTTTCCTCTTCAGAGCCCCGGAGAGAACTGGAAAAGGAGTCCAATGAGCAGCTAAACGGCTGACAACTAAA